TATTAGCAAAGTTATTGCCGTAAATGAAACCTGAACAATTAGAGCCACAACACCAGTCCGCTGAACTCTCAGGCAACTTCCCAAAAAAGCTGAGCGAAATGCGCAGTCTACTTGATAGCTTGAAGAAAACTCTAAGAGGAAAGACTCCAGCTTTATACATATATGAAGTAACTTAGGATAAAAATAATTTGGGACTGATAATTTACGTGCATATGATAAACATGATTTTCTTTTTTGATAGGTTTTCTAAACTTATCTGATGTAAAAAAAAATACTATAGTAATTTGAATATCATACACCACTTTTGTTTCCAAGTTATTACTTCTTAAATATTTAAGAAAACTTTACATGTTTAGTGTTATTTTGGTTTTGGAATTATTGCAAAACAACTTATCATCTTTCTACTTAAAGTATTATGTAGTTTAACATCATCATTATTATGCCATTTAGTTTTAAAAAAATGCCTCACGAATGTGTCTTTAGTTTTGGCGTTTGTTTGATACATGTTTAGGGTTTAGCTTCCGGGGGATTTATGTATTCCGCCGGCTTTTGGTTCCGGAGAATTAATGTATTCCGCCGGTTTTTGGCTCCGGGGATATGATGTATTATATATTTATATTCCACCAATTTTTGGTTCTGGGGATAAGTATAAAAATCCACCGGTTTTATGTAATTTTAAACTTTGGCAGATGACAAAAAAAAAGTGTTTTCGGTTAGATTTTATATACTTGATATTGGAAACTATTTGTCTTGGAAATGTTTTTTTATCGTTACCTACAAAGTACAAACTATCATCTCAGATTACAAAGAGCAACTTAGCTAAAACATAACTAAAAGCATAGTGCTCTACGGTTGAAGATCCCCAAATGAACAAGAAGAAGAAAAAAGGCTCTTGTTACTTCTCTCCATGCTGCTAGTTGAAGCAGATTCATCGTCTTCCTCCTCGAGCATCGCGAGGCTCAATTGTAATTCAGCGCTGGAATTCGGGTAAACCTCGTCATCGAAGCAATCTTCATTACCTTCCTCTTCTTTAATCCATATACCGATTCCGTTTTCACCTTTTAGCAGCCTCAGTATCTGAAGAAACATTAAAGATTAGTACTGACGACGAGATTAGTTTTCTTGGACAAGGAAACAAAATCTTACTTGTTTGATATTGGGACGATGTGTGGCTGATCTTGTGAGACAATGTGTAGCAGCAAGAACCATTCTCTGAAACTGAGACTCATCGAATATCTCTGCTACGTCTGGATCCAACAACCCTTTTGAATTTCCGATCTCGATCAACGGCTTTGCCTGCATCCCAAGGAATCTCCTTTTAGGGGTTTACTAAGTCTTGCTTAGGGTACAAGTAACCAGCCAAACAAAAGAAAAACACTTACCCACATGACCAAACTCTGTTGTCCTCTTGGATTCTCAGGTGAAATGGGATTTCTTCCTGATATGAGCTCAAGGAGAACCACTCCAAAGGCGTAAACATCGACTTTGTCACTGACTTTTCCGTACATGAAATACTCTGGCGCTAGGTATCCAAACGTGCCCACCACGTCACCTTGTATCGAATATCGAGAAGATGTTGTCGGTCCCCACATCGAAAGCCCGAAATCTGAAAGCTATTCTCAAAATCATAAGGAAAGAAAGATAATTGATCTCTTATGAGTTCATAAAGACAATTAGCAAAAGAAGTGAAAGTCATAAGCTTTCATTACCTGAGGATGAAGCTCATTTGAGAGAAGAACATTGGAAGTTTTGACATCTCTGTGAATCACTGGCTTAAAACATCGATTATGAATAAAATCTAACGCTTCCGCTAAACCGATTGCTATCTTGAATCTCTCTTCCCATGATAATACATGCTTATCCTTTTGCTTACCTATATATATAATCAGTCATCATACTTTATATACATACCAATTCGATAAAGCCTTTATATATATGAAGTTGATAAGAGTGTTTTGTTACCGTGAAGGGTTCCCTCTAAACTTCCTGTGGATGAAAGATTATAAACTGAGATAAGATCATTGTCTTGGACACAAACACCAAGCAACGGTGAGATGTTTTGGTGACTTAAAGAAGAGATAATTTCGATTTCTTGAACAAAATCTGTCATAGCTTCTTTAGATGATGATTTCATGATTTTCACTGCAACGCCTCTTCCATCTTCAAGAATCCCTTTGTATACTTCGTTGCATCCTCCTTTACCAATCAGATTCTCTTTCATATAATAGCAAAGATTGAACCAAAGCTCAGAAACATGTAAAGCAAGTAAGAAGGAGAAACAGGGAAAACAAAACAGAGTACCTTGAGAAAAATCTGATGTTGCTGTCTTAAGAACATTGTACTTGAACCATTTGCTGTTGTCTCTCAGTATGTCCCTAAGTTGTTTCTTTACAAAGTTTGTCTCGGAGTTTAGATTCTGATGATGATTTGGAAACCGGTCAGGTAAGCTCATGACCCAATTGACCACTGAGACTTTCCTCGTATGGTGAACTTGTTGTGTCCCCAAAATGTCACTTTTAAGCAAAGGCCAACCTTGTTTCTGGTCTACTGATATGTCTATCGATGGAAGCGAAATCGATCTTCCTAAAATCATCCTCTTTTCTTCACTCATCTTCAAGAGTTCTTCACTAGATACCCAACTATAATTGTGAACTTCTCCTACTAGCTCAATCTGTTCTCAAGACCTAATGTTACCCTTTGTACGAAGCCAATAGATTTTAAAGTGGCTATGAGCCAATAAAAAAACATACATTTTTAGTCAGTTCTATGTAGCGGTTTAAGCGATGATTTCCTCTTCAAGACACAATCTGTATCCATTACCGGACAAAATAGTATTACCAAAACTCTTTCCATCTATTATTAAATCTTTGTACCTGCTACGACTAAAAACAAGATTGAAATAAATAAACATTTAGTATAAAATCTTACCCATTACAAGGATTGATTTTTATTCTCAAACGCTAAATGTTGATCTTCTTCTATCATCTTATGATGACATCATAGAAAGAGCCAAAAAAGGATTGAATTTGTTAATTGATATGAGCTTAGTAG